GCGCACGCGCGGGGGGCGGGGCTGGCGGCGCGCGGGCCGTGGCGCGGCGGGGCCGGTGCGTGAGGGGAGAGCGGGGAGGGGGGGACGGGACCCCTGGAGACACCCCCGGGACCCCCGTCCCCGGTGCGGGCCCTGCCGCGGTGGTCCCGGGGGGTCCCGCCCGTTCCGGTGCGGCCCCGCGGGGTCCCCGCGCTCCGGGAGCCGCAGCTCCACCCGCGGCCCTCGGCACAGGGGCCGGGTCAGGGGGGAGAACCCGCCCGGCCGCGGCCCCTCTGCAGCACCGCCCTGAGCCAGGGAATGTGCGGGCTGGGGGGCCCGCCGGCACCGTCCAGAACAACCTCGGCCCTGCCCGGACACTCACCAGTCGTGCCCTGTCCCTCAGAGCGTTGTCCAGACGCTCCCCAGGCTCAGACTGTTCAGGACAGTCCGTATTCAGGCACTTGGGTGCTGTGGTTTCTGCTCTTTTGCTCATTCCTCTCCTTTATTCCTGAAGCGCTCACAGCATAACAGAAACTCACAGTTTATGTCCTGAAGTTTCCTTTGTAAACTCTTTCCTCTATGACCTTTAAGAAACCTGCAAATTGATAAATATATTAATATATATGCACAAATTTCTAGATTTATTAATATATAAATTTATTGATATATTAAAATTATATAGATTCATAAATACAAACTTGTACATAAATATTCAGTTGTATATCTATAAATTTTACAAAATTATAAATCTTTTATTTGTAAGTTCTCTTTATAAACTGTTGGCTGAGAACCATCCCCCCCGGTCTAGGGACACAGATGAACAGAGAACACCAGCACATCAGTGCCTGTGTTTGTATGGTGTAAGAGTTTCAGAATTAAACTTGTATTATGGTGGAGGATTCACTGATAATTTGTTATTGCCAAGGGAATGTTGCTGAAACATGGAAAAACGCTAAACCTAACCACTAAATCTTTTCTTTCCACTTTTTAGGAGGAAATATTAACATCAGGAAATGGCAGAAGCAGTTTTTCACCCCCCAAGAAGGAAAAGAAGAGTTTTTGAGTCTTATGAGGGTCCCTTCCCTGTGGATGTGGGTGGGAAGGATTTCAGAATGTGCCAGGCTGAAATCATCAACAACAATGTGATTGTGAAGAACCCAGAGGATATTGAACAGCTCTATAACAAGGTGCTGCACCCTGTTTGCACAGTATTTTTTAGTGTTTTAATTGCAGGTAAAGCACAGTACTGATTAAAATCTGCTGCCTTTATGTTTTCCTGCACCTTCAGCCTTGTATGATTCTCTGTATCTCACTTCTTTCCTGAAATCAGTACAAAACATATATTCTGGATCAAATGTGAATAGTATTTCTTATCCAAGCAAATAAATATTTTGAATGAATCGACACTGTGACCCAAAAAACAGCTGCAAAGCCTTCATGTTTGTTAATGTCTCCTTTCAACATTTTATGTAGCTTCTCAAAAATGTTTTCTTGTGTTTAAAGCCCAGGAGGTTGGAATATTAATATTTTATAAATGCTTCTGTAATTATTTTAGCTTCAGAGTGATTTATTCCTGTGTAAAATAAGCTACATTACTCCTTTTATGCCTGAGTACCATTTCAGCACCATTCTTGTGCAGTAGTATCTCTTTGGTTTCCATCGTGCATTGTCACAGCATCAATACACAGGTGGTGTCTCCTGCGTTCGTTTTGAAATGTCTGTTTGGAGATGTTGCCTGACAAATATTTAGAATTGAGGAGAAGACCAGACACCCTCCCAGTTAAACCACCATACCTGGTTAAATCTCTCAGTGCAGGGGTTTAATACTGACCAGTTACCAGCAGATAAACAAGCTCTAGGCAAAGCTTAAATACTGCTGAATTTTAGTTGTGTTTCAGCTGGTCTTGGCAGTCCACATATTGTAATTTGGAAATAAATTCATCTGTTTGTTAAGAGATAATAAGGATATTTTCCCTTTCTTTTGCAGGGCTATTTTGGAAAAGGAATCCTTTCAAGAAGTCGGCCGGTGTTCAGCATTTCAGACTCTCTGCTGGTTGCTAAGTGGCAAGGTAAATGTCCTCTGATAGTTCTTCACTTTTCTTCACAAGGATCTCTCTCTCCTCCTCTCTTGTGCTTGGGGAATACCTGGGAAAAACCCAGGAACAGGAAATGTGTCATAGCTCCTCAGTGCACTCTCCTTGCCTTCCTGGGGTTGTTCCTTGGGAAGTCTGTAAGTAAAGGGATCCTTGGACTTCTCTTCAGATAACTCTCCAGTTTTTCTTGGGTTTAATCTGTAGGTTTTAGTGTCCATGAAATCATGAGGGAAATTTTTAATCTGCTTGTGGCCAACTACATCCAGTCTGCTCTTGGTTGTTTATATTGTCATTTTTTGCTCATGTTTCCCATGACAGTTAAGTCTCAGTGGGCATCACTGGATTTTATCATATCCCTTCATCATTGTCTTTTTATGGGCTGGAGAAAAAAAGGTGTATTTAGTTGTTCTCTTGTGCAGGCTGTTACCTCTGTACCTTTCCTGATTCTGCTGTGTCCTTGAATACAAGTGGGACCAAAATAGCTTTGAAGACTGAGAATGGGGGTAATTGTCAGGCTGCAGATCACCCCAGTGACCAAAACCACACAAAAACATCTTTATATTGATGAAACAATGTATGGTTTTTCTTTGTACAGGTGTTAACACAAACATGCCTATAATTACATCTCAAAAGTAAGTTAATTTGCTTTAATTTATTCTTGGTGCTTTTAGGAAACATATTATTCTGGTTTACATTTTTTCTTTCTGGTTTTCAGGTTGTTGGCTGTATAAGTGATGATTTTCTCATTATTTAATTTATAAATCACATTAGAAGAACTAGAAATAGAGTGGGGGATATTCAGTGTGGTTTTTCATGTAATCTTGCAGGTATTGATTGCTGAATAGAGGCCAACACGGAGTACATGCATAGTAGGGTGGATGATTAATCGTAATAGTCATAATAAACTTGTTTCTTAGCTGAGGAGGAGAAAAACAAGTTTCTGGGGTAGGCTCTTTAAAACAACTTCCACTTCCTTAAGGAATTGCTATAGCGTAAACTGAAGCAGCTCTTTAATTTTTATAATGCACTAATATTTTACTTTTTTTATATAAATTATCAATTAACATTGCTAGTTTGTCCACTTAGCAAAACAGAGTGTTGGACCACATTTTTATTTTGCTTAAATAGTAGATGAACTGTTAAGCATGTGCAGGTGGGTTACTCAGTTTGTTTCAATCTTATGATAATTTTTAAAAATTTACTTAAATTTGAAAATTATGCTCCTTCAGTCTTCGATTTTAGATAAGAAAAACTGTATCAATATTACTGCTAGTGCTAGTACAGTTACTACTGCTCACAGAAATACTTGCCATTCTTATTAGTCTGTCTTGTGACAGCTTTATGTGCCAGCAGTGGCTGAGCATCAGTGCAAGTGTGATTATTGGTGCTCAAAAGGCATCATGATCTGTTCCAGTAGAGATCTGGAAGTGCAAATTCTATGGTAATTAAATCATAGGACCACGAGGAGTCTGGTTTATATAACAAAGAGTACAGCACTGAATTGTACAGCTTTATTATGAGGCTTCACAGGGACTTGTGTTTGTGTTGACACATGAAATTTGCATTTAATTGTCTCTGTAGTTCTTCATTACCTGATCTGGAATTGCTGCCTTAGGATTTTGTTCAGGAAAGTAAAGAGTATTGTCCCAGAGTTGTCCAGGTTCGAGGAAGGACAGCTGCCCTGAGGTCCCTGTAGCTGCACAGAGGGAAGATTCATGTCTTCAACTGGATATTAATGTTACTTTCCAAGAGAAATAACAGAAAGGTCACTAAAAACTGTATCATAATTGAAAAATACTAGACATATTTGCAGCTTTCAGCTGCTATCTCACTGATAGGGTTATTGTTATTTCTCAGGGATATAACTCTGAGGTTTTTGGTTGAAAAAGGTAGCATCTGCTTAAGATTTTTACCCTGGTGTTTTTGCTATGTCATTGCTTTTTGAAAGGTACTTAGAACAGAGTTTTGAAGCTACTGCTCTCAGTTGTTATCTGTAAAATAGATGAAGTGTGTGAGAGCTCTGTATGCAAACTCTTGTTGCATATTTTAATCCTGCAAGCTCTGCTACCAGGACATTTTTGTGGGGATTCAGGTTTAGGGCTCCCATGGGAGATGGGACTTTTTGCCCAATGAAGTTCTTGCTTCTTGAAACTACACAGTCCCTTGTGCAGGGCTCAGTAGTGGTGTTTAGGCCACACAAATTTAAAAGGCAAAACCAGAGGAGGAGAAGAATCCTGATGCTCAGTGGTGTCACCTCCAAACCCACCTCCCAAAATCTGGAGCCCCATTGCACTGGGTACACTTGTGTTTGCACAGCAGTTGTTGGGGTGTGTTCAGAATTGCTTGTGAACTGTGCTGAATCCTCTGCTTTTAAGGGCCCTGTTTAGAAATGTTAATTAAGGGATGCAATGCCCTCCAAGTTCCCATTTCTCCTGTTTCCCAGGTACCAGCGACGTCTTCAGTGGGCCAGGAGTGTTTTGCAAGAGCAAGGCCTTGATGACTGCTCAGTTACCCAAATCCTTGAAAATTACACCAAACCTCTGGAGCTGACGGAGGATGGAGCTGAACAAACCGTTAGTGACAGAATGGGCCCACACAGAGAAAATACTGAACTTTCCAGGCAACCTTCTGCAGATGCTGGCAGTGCTGGAGCCCTGAGTGCCGAGGATCAGAACGGGGGCTCCAGGAAAGCCTGTCTGGAAGGAGATGCAGGGATGGGCCCTGTGTGTGGCTCTAAGGAACAGGAACAAGGTGACTCCAGAGGGCTGGAGGAAGGGTCCTGCCAGAAGGGTGGTGCTCCTGTGCTCTGTGGCTGTGAGGGGAAGCAGAGCCCTGACCAAAGGGCTGGGCAGGGGGGCGAGGCAAAGGAAAATGCTCCAGAATATGTGTTGGTGCAAGAGGAAGAAGAAGAGAGCTTATGTCCTGAAGATGACTCTGCTTGTTTACAAGGAAATGTAAGGAAAAAGAGTATCCCAATCTTTTAGAAAATCTCTAGCATCAGTGCTGTTTTCAGAATTCAGTAGTTTTTCCAGTTAAAAGTTTTAATAATACAGTAATTTTTTTTCTTGTAGCTTGTCAAGAAGGAGAAACTGGTATGTAGAAAAAATCCATTTAGGATTTTTGAATATTTACAGCTCAGCTTGGAAGAGGTATGTTCCAAGTACAAGTTGGTTTGCTTTTAATCTGAAAAAGTAGACATTAATCTATGTTACAACATAATTTAATACCTCCTTCTAAAGTATAGGGCTCTCCTGTGTCTCCTAAGGATTTGGATTGTCTTAGTCATTAAACTCCTTTTTAATAACCTGCAAGAATTACATGATATGGTTAAAAATATTTAGGGTCTAATCCCATTTGCTTTAGATGAATAATCCCACTGGCAGAGAGACCAGTGATTTAAGTGTAAAAATACCAGGAATATAACATTTAAATAAATCCTGTTTCAGTTGTGCTGCCTCTAAATATATTAGTTTTAACACCGGGCCCCCAGGAACGTACACCACAGGCAGAGATGGTTTGTAGTTTGTAGATTTTTCTGCATCTGTTGAAATGTAAAGGTCATGATCACAAGTCTCGTGACATGAGGACTCTTGTATAAAATTAATTTGAGCCTTTGTTCTTGCATGGAACATAGACCGCAGGAAGAAACAAGATATTAGTTAAACTTACTCTGTTTATTTTTTCAGGCTTTTTTCTTGGTGTATGCTCTGGGATGTTTAAGTATTTATTATGGTGAGGTAAGAGATTGGATTAATTTTGGGTTACTGGGGATACCATTAGTCTGGATACAGTTTGGTCTGAAATTTTTAGTTAATATGGCAGTAATTTATGCTGTTAATTCTGGAGGAGGAAATACCAAACAGAGTAATTGGGAAGTTTTTCTTGTAAGTAATGGTATTTCTGTCTATGAAATACCGGTCTGAAAGTTTTAAGTTTAGCCAGACAAATATAATTAAGCAGAGTCCTTTTGCAGAGGAAGGTTTTTTGTTATAATTTAGGCAGGAAACATGGGAAGGGCAAATAAGGGAGAAATAATACCTGAGATGCCAACATTCTTTGGAGCTTTAAGTGTTAATCTCCAAGTATAACAAGCTATTGTTAATGTCATGGCAAAATAATTGAAACCTGTGCTTCTAGTTTGAGATGGATCGGCCTTTCCTTTAGATAAGGGCATTGTGAGACTGATTGTGAAATGCTAAAAGATCCACCAAATAGAGCAGCAGGTTTCTGGAAGTCTTGTATTTAGGGATTCTGTATTTCCTTGCCGGCAGCCCCCGCTGTGTGCAGCAGCCTGCGCTGGTTGTGCTGTGGTGTTGCTGTCTGGCTGTCCCGGTGCTCTGTGTCTGTCTGTGCAGTCCCAGTGCCCTGTGTGTGCTCTGCAGGAGCCCCTGACCATCGTGCAGCTGTGGGAGGTGTTCAGCGAGGTGAAGCCTGATTTCAAGACCACCTACATGGCCTATCACTATTTCCGCAGCAGGGGCTGGGTGCCCAAGGTGGGGCTCAAGTATGGCACCGACCTCTGTGAGTACCTCCTCACCTGGAGCATCTGCACCTCCCTTCTCCTCAGGCAGGGCAGGGCTGCAGTGCCACAGGGGAATTCAAGCACTGCAGCAGCCTCTGCCCTTGGCAACAGACGTTTTTGATTGGACTGTGGGTTGTCAGTAAAGTTGGGATGTGAGTGGAAAATCCCATCCCAGAGTCAGTAGCTGAAGAGGCAGCTTGAGAGGCCTGTTGTTTGCCTTCATGAGGTTAATAATTCCTGCAGGATTCCACTGGAATTCCCTTCCCAAGTGCCTCCATCCCCTTCTAAACACACCCTCTGCAGTGTCGACGTGACAGTCCCTACAATAACAGGTTTGAATCCAGATCCAAATTCACAGAGTCCATGGATCTCATTCATCCCAGTTAATAGAAGCTGGACTTGTGCTGAACTTACTGCTAAGGCTGTTTCTCTGGGTGGTTTTTCTCGGGGCTTTTTTTTTTGATAGAGGGAGAAGGGATTTGTTTCTTTGTTAATGATTGGGAGTTTAATCTTACAGAAATTATTAGTACTGTCCAAAATCCCTTGCTAAGTAGTTCAAGAACTACATTTAGCTCATGTGCACACAAACGGTACAGTAAAGCCTGTCATTTCAGGAGAATGTGCATTAAAGGAGGTGTTTTTTAATGATTGCCTGCAAACCAGCAGGTGTTTTAATGCTGCTGATGTAGTTATACATTCTGGGAGTTGTGCTGAGCTCATCCTTGAGAAAGTGAGTGGCTTTGGCTGAATTCATCCTCGCTGTTCTTACACCCTGGGTTGTGGATGGGGTTTTGCTGTTGATCACCTGATGTACAGAGAAATTGATATGAGTTGGTTCACCTTTCATTTGTGTGTTGGCCTGAATTTGTTGTTTGGTCACTCACTGCCTTTGGATTTGTGCCAGACCAAGGAAGTGGAGTAGTTTAAGGTTTGGAGGAGTTCTGTCTTAGTCCTGAGCTTCTGTGCAGCACCTTCTTAGAGCTGGTATTACTACAGTTGGTGATAATGGATAATTTTCAAGTCATGGTTGTCAAGAATGAAGTGCCTGCTCATCCCCCCCCGACAGGAAAAGCTGTGTAAGAAAAGCTCTGCTAGTTAAAGAAAGTCCCCTCTTACAACCCCCGGCAAAGGGAAGACAGGAAATGTAACCCTTTAACTCAGTGACATCAGTCCAGCTGGGAGGAGTCTTGTGTACCCTTGTATGAAGGACCGTTTAGAGGGTCTGGTGGGCAGTATGTAAGAACCTGTGCCTCTCCTAAAACTTGTGGAAAATACTTGTTTGGAACAGAAATGTGATGGCTTACTGTCATTTTACTTGTACTCCAGTGGCTCAGCTTCTCTTGTAAATACAATGTCAAAAACATGAATCTGTTGCAGAAAAATTCCATCCCAAACTTTTTCTCACAGCAACAGCAAACTGTCCTTTGGCTCTTCTGATTTATCTTTTACCTACTCCAGCATTTCTTTGTCTCTTCCATCTCTCTCTACTCTTGCTGGAACAACTTAATTCTGAGCAGGATTCAAAAGCATTGAAGTTTTGTCTTGTGTAATTAAAACTCAGAAACCATTTGACAATATTGATTGACCCTGGTATTAAACTCTGATGGGAACTCTGTGATTATCAGACTAAGGTGTTTCTCTTCCATTTCAGTGCTGTATCGAAAAGGCCCCCCCTTCTATCATGCCAGGTTTGACATTCTTGTTTCTGTCAAATGTCTTTGTTTCAAATTAGATTTCTTTCACACATTCTCACTGCTTTAAGTACGTATTCATCACTCAAAATATATTGCTGGATGTATTCATACTGGGAATGTGAAAATCCTTTTAGTAGAGGTACTAAATGACACAATTTAATTGAATTTAAGTAACAGACATTAAAAATTAGAAGTTGCAGTGAGCATATTTAACACTTGTATGATGAATGCACTCAGGAAAGTAACTTGATTTATAAGTAGATAAGTAAAACTGACTTTGGAAAATATATGGTATGGGTAACTTATGTAATTTGGGAGAAGAAATTTTAAAGGGATGATAACTGTCTTTATTCATTAGCTAGTGAGGTAAAATAAATTGGTTAAAAATGTCAGCTTGGCATTCATAAGAGAATGCTCCAGACATCAGGGTGAGGACAGCAGGTGCCATTGGGCATATTCCCAACTTCATTGTTTCTTCTCTTTTCCTTGTAGAAAGAGACTGGAGTTTCACAATTTGCTGCCTCCGTGCTGGCATACTGTTTAACACCAGTTTTTACCCTCTAGTTCTTAAATCTTCTTGCTAAAATGGTAATTTCTTTCAGTGGACTCTGTGCTCTGTTGTGCAGTTACTCTGTCCTTGCTGAATTGGTGGATGATGATTTCCAAGGATCTCTCCGCAGACCTCTCAGCTGGATGTCCCTGTCTGGGCTCAACAGAACAACTGCTAATGCTTCCAAGGTCAGTGTTTAGAACAGCTTTAACATGATAACGGGACAGTTGAGCTCCCAGGAGCAGGAGTTGGAGTGAGGCTGGGAAGAGAATCCTTCTGCTGAACAACACGTTTAGTTGCCAGTGGGGAAACAAGTTTCCTTGGTCAATATCTGTAAAGCTTTTTACAGATGAATTCTGTAAAGCTTATTAAAGTTCTGGTGCCTGAAGGAGTGTTAAAAGCTGTGTGAGGAACAGCAGAAAGACCTGAGGGACACTTGTTTCCTGATGCACTTCTGTTTTTAAAGCCTTCTCCATCTACCAGGATTTTCTTTTGAACAGAGAAGCTTGTTTTCCTCTGTGCTAGAGCTTTGAGCACAGTGCTTCCATAATCCCTTTGAATTCCGGTGTGTGTTTGCTGGTTGCCAACAGGAGCTGATGCTCTGCTATTTGATTAAACCCTCTGACATGACTGCAGAGGAGATGTCGAGCCCAGAGTGTATGAAGAGGATCAAGGTCCAGGTGAGTAGTTCCTGCTCTCTGTGCCATGGGTGGCTTTGCCATGGAGCAGCTCCACAGCTCCTTGGGAGAATTGTCCCTGCCTCTTTGCCTTGATTTGGATTTTTCAAGTGCAGCTGCAATAAAATAATTAGATTCCTTCATGCCCCAAGGCATGAGATGGGCATTGCAGGCTCTCTAAAAACTTCACATCTTCTGATCTAAAGTTTAATGTTGCTGTTACTGTCAATGTAAGTGTTTGCATGGGGAAATGGGGGTGCCTGTGGAGACTGCAAGGTTAATATCTGTTCAAAAATGAAGGGAGAAGTATGTGTGAGACCAGCTCATGTCAGGAAGAAACACAGTCATCTACTAAAATTTCTCAGTGGTCACATAATACACATCAATTTTAGAGACCTAATTCCCATCCCTCACTGATTATCTGTAGCTTTGGGGTTTTTTCCATAATAATTCCAGTTTTATTTCAGGAACTGATTGTCAGTCGTTGGGTTTCTTCCCGCGAGCGCAGTGAGCAAGATGAAGCTTAACTGACTGCATAGGAAAAAGTCACTTTTTTAAAACCACTTCTTGTTGTTTTTTACCTGATCTCATGATGACCCATTGCCTCAGAACAGCTCCTGTCTACACATACAGTTGGTTTGTGTAAATGCTATTTATAGTGAGGTGTATTGTGTTTACTGGGGACAGTGCTGTATTGGAAAACATAACTGAGCTACAGTGATACATATGAAGGGGAGGAAAAATTAAAGCTGTGTTCCAGTTCAAAACAGAAAATAAAAATAAAATATGAAAGTATAAAAGGAGTGGTGGCTACACTGCAGTAATTAGTAACGTTTAACTTTTTAAATATTAATATTTGTTGTTATTTTAAATGTTAATATTAAATAATTTTTACTTCTCTGGCAAGTGAAGGTGTTAGAGCTGAATGGTCTGACTCCTGAATGTCTGCCAAATGCCTGAGCAATGAGGGATTGGACTGTTTTCTGGGAATACCTCTTCAGAGTTGAGAATTGTAAGGCTCAGCACAGGGTCCTACATTTCTTCAGAAATGAAGGCTTAAACTTGACAGTCCTCGAATTTAATGCTTAAAAACCAGTAGTAATTACAGTGAATCAAATAACCTTTTAGAGTATCAATGGTAACTTTCCTCAACCAAAACCTGACTTCATAGCCTTGAGGAAACGGCAAGAGTTTGGATTTGGGGAGAGATTTGGTTGTTGCAGTATTGATTATTGTAACATGTTGTGATTGGGTGCCTGGACCCTGGGATTTAGTGCCTTATTTTCACAGTCACAGCTCAGAATTGAGGAACTCTTCCCAGAATGTGCAGGGATTTAGTGAATTCTATGGGTTAAGCACCTAACAGCAAAGTGAGGTGTCGGGCACCTTTCTCCATCTGGGTAAGGTGTCTTTCTTCCCTTTAAAGTAAGGGCCTCATCCTGCCCTGTGCCAGCGAGATGCCCAGCCCAGCTGAGGCCCTTTCTTCTCTTGAGGATGACTTACTGTGCAGAAAATAACACAGCTTTGCTGAGCCAGTGGGAGGAACTCAGTGCCTCTAGCTTGGCAAGTGTGTCTCACGTTCATCACTGCTTTTTTCCCTTTTATCCAGAACCTACAACAGTTTATACACTTATTTTTGTTCCTATTGCACTGGTAGCTCTCTCTGTCCTGGCCTATCATGTCATATAGCAGATGAGGATAAACTGCAGTTTGGATGGAGTGAGGAATAGGACAGTGCTGAGATTTGCTACACTAGTGCCTGCTGTTTTCTAACTTTTTTTTGCAAGATTTAATCATCTGGAAGGCAGATTCCTAACGCTGATGTTCACTAGTGCTAAGGCACATTAGGAAAACAAACCAGCCAACCAACTCAGCAGGTGCTGAGCTGCTTTCAAGCAGAGCCAGGAGGTTTCAGTATCAACTGTGCTGCCTTTTAAGTCTTGCTGCTTCATTCAGGAATTTGAATTCCATCTAGGCTTCCCTGCTTCCCCATGCTGTTCGGGTTTTGTGAGAACACGTTTGCTACAACAGTGAGGACGCATCAGAGCTGGTGGCAGTGACAAACTTTGTGCTGGTTTCACTTTCCAGACCTTTTCCTTGTCTGGTAGAAATCATGTCACCTCGACCTGTTCCCACCAAACACAACCCCACAATCATGTTTATTTGGGCAGTTTAGATTGTAGAGCCATGTCACAAATGCTGGAAACTCCATACAACTCAAAGTGGAAAATCTTCCTGTCTTTGCTTTCATTTAATATGACTCCTACTGGAAGGATGTAAAATGAAATGTGAATTGCATAGAAGCTTTTTCAAGCTGAACAGGTGTGGAGGTGTTAGGTGTAGGGGTCAAGGTATTTTATTTCAAGCTGCAGAGGACTGTACTTCATGCTTCAGTGCTGGTGGATCAAATAACTTAGTTGTATCATTTGCCACTGTATTTATAATTTACCACCTAACATACAGTACTTAAATGCAGTGAGGATTCTGCCTCAGAAACAGCACACCAGGATTTGTTTGTGAACCAAATCCTGGCTGAGGGATTGTGCTGTGCCCTGGAGGGGGTGGACAGGTCTCCAACAGCAGCAGGACAGTGCATTTCAAGCTGGTTGTCCCTACTCGTGCTGTGGGTGTTTTAAGTTTGGCAAGAAGTGGAAGAACACGGAGGGGGAGGTGTGTGAAGTGTGGTGTATGTGGTGTGTGCAGCTGCAGAGCAGGGGGGGACAGGGTTAATGGGGTCTGTGTGTACAAAAGGGTAAACAAACCCCCAAACATTCATGAACGCTTCTCCATCTCTGAGAAAACAAGAGTTGCAGCTAGACCAAAACCAGCTTACTTCAGAAAAAATTAGAAGGGAAAAAAGTTGAAATTATTTTCTTAAACTAGAATGTAAGTGAAGTGAAATTCCACAAAGTTCTGGACTGCCCAGTTTTGAGCTCAGCATACATTCTGTGTAATGCACAACAGGTAAAAGTGCTGTTGGAGGAACTTTGTCATTTTACCTCAAATTTTTTTTTTCTGTAGTTTTAACTCCAAGATAAATTCTGAGGAGTCTGTTGATTATTACAACTACTAACAGATAAGACACTAAAATATCTCTTCATACTAAGCATCTGTCTTGAAGAATAAACGTGCAAAATGCAAATTGAAAACTAGATGTATCTGGCAAAGAGGATAGATTTCTTTGTTGTTATATTTATTAGTAATCAGAGGAAAATAACTTTGCAGGTAGTGAATCTGCATTTGGATTTCAGCAGCACAGAAGCACATATTCCCTTTTTTCATTCGTCAATAATCAAATGTGACAGGAAAAAAACCATTTTGGTTTGCTATGGCTGAAGATACAATAGTTCATTTGCTAAAACCCTTAATTACACAGCAGTCTTGATTTCTGGTAGGAAGTGTCCTTGCAGAGCACACAGTGAATGTAAATAAGAAAACATTTTTGCATATGAATAGTTGCCACAGAAACTCTCTGTAGTGTGTACATCATAGATACATCATTTCACTCAAATGAACAAGGTCAGTATCCTTCAGGTTAAAATTAACTGTGTTTTTAACTAATTAGATCCTGCACCTTAACCGCTGAGATCTGGAGCCTTAAGGCTTTTCCCTGTTTCCTGCTGCAGCTGATTCAGTACAGCAGCTCATCATGCTCAGCACTGCTGCTCTGTCCTCCCTCGGGCAGGGGCACGATGTAGCAGTCCCTGTGTGCCAGCTCCTGGTGCAGGGTGAGGTACCTGGAGGCTCTTCTGCTCTGGGGGAGCACGAACCTCTCTGTGAACTCCCCCTTGCTCAGGGGCTGTTTCCCCTGCCTGCTCAGGACGTGGTTGATGAAGGCCAGGGCAAATGTGTAGCAGTTGTGCTCCTGCTCGTCATACCTGGGGAAAACATCTCCTTAATAGAGTTACCACAGAGCCAAGAACTCCCCAGGAACCATCCCCAGCTTCCCCTCATGCTGATGGTTAAATATATTCCATTCATCACCAGCTATACTTTCCAACCCAGGAACTCTGGATAGAAATGCTAATGGAACAGGAGTGACAGCCATTTAAAATGCTTTTGCCTTATTTTTCCTCTTTTTTTAACCTACCTGCTACCCTGTCCTAGGACATTACAGCACTTATCTGGTCACTGTCAGAATGTTCCTTGGGTTCTCCCAAATGTTTCATGTTGGCCACTAACAGCTTCAATGATTGCATTTACTCCACTCTCTCACCACACTGTGCTGCATTTCCCCCTGTTCCTGTGTAACTGCATTTGCTCAGACTCCTGTTTGCCACCTGCCTCACCCTCAGGCTGCTCCCATAAGTGCCTGACCCCTGTCCCTTGTTCTCCCCAGCCCTGTGACCTATTCCTTGCCTCATGCTCTTAGTGGCTCCATGGTCTGTGCTGTCACAGGGAGTCTCTGGGAGGATTCCCTGTCAGCCCTGGGGGTTTCTGCAAGATCTGAGGACTGTGGCTATGAAAAGTGACCCTGAGCCCAGCTCAGCAGAGCTCACTCTTCTCTTCAAAGCTCTCCTGGTTTCAGGGCACCTGAGGTGACCTGTGAGCTCCTGTTCAGTAACAAAGCTCAGCTCCTCCTTTTTGGGAAGAGTGTCTTTGGATCCAGACAAGAGAGCCAGCTCCTCTCAGTCACTGCAGGTGCTGTTGGTCCTGGCTGTGGCTGCAGTTCTTTGCAGCTGTTCTACATTGTCCTCCAGTAAATGACAAGCAATCAAGAAAATCAGAACTAGGCTCAGCCTGAACCCAGAGGAGTTACAGGATTAGTTTAGTGCAGTTCCTGTCCATTGAAAACCAGAGGAGGTAATTAAAAGAGTTTTCAGCAGTTCAGTGGTTACTGGTCTAGTTGTGGAAAAAGTAGGTCACTGTGTCAGGAGATGGTAGAAAAGTGAAGAAAAGCTCGTAGAAGAGATGAAAACATCTGTCTGCCTTCTGCCAGTGAGGTTTTTTGACACCAAGCCAATTTTAGTATTCCTGTTAAGGCACTGGGAATTGTAAAAGTAACACAAATCCTGTTGGCTTTACAAGTCCTGTAAACATCTAAAAATTCTATTCCAAATCAAAGTCTTCCATCTCCTGGTCTGGGGAGATGATGGATGAGGTCTGAAATTTATAGTCAGCATGTACAGAATTGCTAAAAAATGCTTTTGATTTGGTGTGGGGGGTTTTCTTTTCTATTATGGCTCTGTGAAGTGACACACCCCCAGCGCCCAGGCAGGCTGTGTGTTACTTGGGCTGTTCCCAGGGACAGTCCCAGGGCTTTCCCTGGAGAGCTGCTGTGTGGGGATGTGACAGGGCATGTCCGACCTGGGCATTCACTTCAGGGCTGCATATTCTTGGTGGGACACACCAGCTTAGTTCAAAGGGTGAGGATGCCTTTCTGTATTTACCCATCCAGAGCAATGTTATGGACCAGGTGGAAGAGCTGGAAATGAGCCTGCTGCCCATTTCTCACCACTGACAACCAGAATGTCACCTGGGTGTCAGATCTGGGCAAGAATCCCAGCGTGGTCAGCCTTTAAATGCAAATACACCTAAAACTGCAGAAACCTTGAAAAATAATCCCAGAATGGCACCTGGCCCTTTGTACTGAGCAGCAGGTAGGTGACGTTTCATTAAACTGGGGGTTTCATGCAAAATTCCCTGAAATAAACTCATTTTA